AGAGTAAACCTTTTATTGCCAGGTTGTCTGGCTAATTGAGTTTTTCTTGTTTCTTCCGAGGGGAAGCAACCAAGAGATGTAAGGGGAAGCATTGCCACTGAGATTCACCTTCGCCTAGAAGCTGACCCCACCGGAGAAGCCAAAACTATAAGGGTCCCAGATTTTGTCCTCGAGCGCTCATGTGTGTTGTGTGGATTCGTCCGGGGTTTCCTTCATGAAGAGGGAAATATCGGGAGGTCCTTAGGATGGTGTGTGAAAGGGATTTCAACTTGGATTTCACGAATGGACACCAATTGGTTGGATAATGGAGTTTGGGTTTGGGGAACTTACTGTCTGAATTTTGACCAGAGGACAGAGGACTCACTTTTTTTGTTGTTTTGGGAAACGGCCAAGTAAAACCCTCAACGGTTGCGGTGGTTTTCTGGGTCCGTTTCCCTGCTAGGTGCCCTTTCTCACCCCTTTTTTGGGGGGAGTGTTCCCCTTCCAAAATAGACTGCAGGAAAAAAAGTCTAAGGACCTAGTTTTGGCGGGGTTACTCAAGGTCCCCAAGTCACGTGGGTGTTTGCGTCCAGGATTTGCTTCATGTGCGATCCCCAGTGGGTGCGGGCCCCAGAAGACCCGGCCGAAGCTTCCGGCTGCGTTATCACGCTTGTTTGTCGATGCATGGTTGTTGTTGGGAAACATTTCGGTTTGACCTGTCGGTTTGACCTGTTTAGGTGCATTATGAGTCATGGCCCCAAAAGGTGATCGCCTTTTGATTTCCCTAAACATGGCTGTTGTTGGGAAACATTTTTACGTTTTTGCTTATTGTGGTTCATTGGTGGGAATCCAACCACTGAACTGCTAGAATTTAAGTTGTTGCCCCCCTTCTAACGGGAAGAAAACCAAGTATTAGTGGAGCGGGGTAAAATGAGCTCACCGTGATGTAGGTCCTTCAGTGAGTGATCAGTTGGAATCATTGTCGAATTTGGTCGAATTGTTGTGAAGGCCCACTTTTCTCAATCGCTGGATTTCATATGTTTTGTTTTGCCCGTTGTTCACCCGGTGCTTTCTTATGTTCAAAGGCCCGATGTGTGTTTGTGTCGGCCATTCTTCACAAGGGATTGTTGGAAAGAGCGGGGCAAGCAACCTCCCGTTTCGGTGGTAGGAACCTTTTAGGGGAAGCCCCCTTCGACGCTTCGAGGCATATCCATCCTGGCTTTGCCAAACCTAGTTGGGGCCCCAAAGATCTGCAGCACCATACAAAAACTGCACCCAAGCCTCCTGTTGGCTGGAGGCTTTGACTAACAGGTAGGGGCCCAGCTCAGATGAGTGACATGGCCCCCAGCTTTGGCCATTTCATGCCGCCCATTTGTAGCACTCCCGGTATCGCAGGAATGGTAACGAGCCCTGGGACATGAAGCAAAAGACCCTCCGCCCTGCCCAGGGTAGCCGCGAAGGGGCCCGAGGTGGTTCTTGTTTGTTTATTCGTTTCCAGCTGGAGGCAAGGATCGTAAGGCTCGACATTTTTGTTTGTCCTCTCCCCGGGGATTTCTTTGCTCGGCTGTTTGCCTGCAATGGGGTCTTATCCTGTATCTAGTTGGGCGGCGTACGCACCTGTTGTTGTTTTTGTGTGACCTTATGCGCACTTTCTGCGCAGGGGGGCATACGGAGAATGGGAGGGAGCTGTGCCACTAAGATGAGTCCTGTTCCAGACATAAGCAGGGGTTCTCTTCCATTTGCTGAAATGAATATTGCGTAGTTTCTTGTGTTGGTTTTCTTACGGGAACCGATCACTGGAGATGTGTGGGTGTATTTTTGTTCAGGAGACCCCGCACATGAACGGCTTTCCAATTTTGGCTTTCCTTAAAACCGCCAACAAATGGGTACCACCTCCAAAAAGAAAGACCCAGCTGCGACTCTTTATGGCGAGCGAAGCTCACCGTTTCGAGGGGCTTCTTTACTTGGGAATCCCTTCCAGGACAAGCAACCCGTGTTCATTGACCCAAAGTCCAGGCTCAGGCTCAGATCAGTAGGGTTTAGATCAGGAGGGTTTCCAAACTCATTGACAACATATTTATGCAAATATATTGTTATTTACCTAAGAAAAAGAGATATATAATATTACTTTTCCCCAAGTCAATCATTATTTTCATACAGCAAGTGTCTAGCGTCTTTTAGTTGAATCATCATCTGTTATAGCTATATTCCGCCAATTGGTGTTGTACTCCAGGTTGGCCTAACACTATTCCGCTGACTGCTTGTCATTTTGCCAGGTATCGGTTACAGATCACTTTCCAGTACGATTCGAGCGTCACTCAATATATATATATATAGCTATTCGTCTCCGCCTCCAGATGCTCCCAACGTTTCAACATCAGCTGACCCCAGTCTGACTTAAACTGCACGTTCTGTAGTGTTGCTGCTTCCTGACCAAAAATCCAGGAGATACGGGACACTCGTTTTACTTGAGCAAAATGAGAACGATCGAGATTTTGCGAAATTGCTTGAGATTGTTTAGATAGATTTTCGGGGTTCCCAAAATTGACACTGCCTTTAAAGTACTATTGTATAAAATTAGTCCCGAGACTTTTTGAGATAAAAACGATATATGTTGATATAAAACATGCCAACACATGCAGTTTTTGAGATTTTTTGAGATAGCTTTTCGGGGCTAACCAAATTGCCCCTGCCTTTTATCTGCCTTTAAAGTAGTGTTGTGAGACATGCCAAATTGATTGTTTCTACGCTGACATGCTTTCTGTGCACTTGACATGACCTTCCACAGCCTTTAGATTCACAATGTGTCATGAGCTGCCCACTCAACCAATCAGCCTCTCACTCACATTGTGCCCGTCAGTGCCGGCATAGATCAAGAAGCTACACTGTGCTCAAACCATACATTTGCAGGACGTACTATGATTTAAGTAAATCTGCAAATAAATGAACTATTTTGCAGAAAAAAAAGCAACTTAAACATACACAAGAGATTTCTGGGTTGTCTTAAAAACACTCCCGATCTAGATCTGACCCTCCACTTCGGATCGTGTGTTTCCTTACAGTTCCTAAGCCGAGCCACCGATTTGGACGAAAAAGTGCAGATCTCTCAGCTCAGGACAGCTACCTCTACGCCTCCAAGCTTTCGGGTCCCCAGCTGCAGCAGCAAGAGCGCTTTCGGGAAGGTGGGGCTCATCGTTTTTGTGGTCAAGCTATGAGCTACGAACAGGTGGCTGTCCAAAGTTCAGGTTAGGTTAAAAACCCCTCCACTTACGAATAGGTGAGCTGTCCAAAGTTCAGGTTAAAACCCCAGGTGGCTATCGTTATAACTGGGGGAACTGGGACTTGGTGCCCGGGAAGAAAGAAACAAACACATGGTTGTAAGTCATAGATTATGATGTGATGGACAAAATCACCCGTGGTTGAAACCACAAGGTTTGGTGGTTGATTGGGGGGGTCATCAGGAGCCAGGGTTTCTGAAGGGTGGTGCCGCATTTCCTCCCTCCACAGTATGTCAGCTAGGCTATAACCATGTGAGTAACTGGGGCTTGGTGCCCCGGAAAGAAACACAACAACACATGGTTACAAGTTAGAAACTGCAAATTGAGTTGGCTGATTCTCCAAGGGCTTCCGCACTTCAGTCGAACGCCTCTCCGACAGTTTTCGGGCCATTGGTCAGTGGGAAGTCCTCCCGTATCAGCGCATTACTGCGCTTACATTGGTAGCATCCAGTCCAAGACAAAAATAATTACCTGGCAGGTGGCCTAAATAACACATCCCTATGGGCCTGGGGATCCCATTAACTTGGGGAGCAAAAATCTGGGGCGTGGAGTGGGTTGTTGGCGTACCATTGTTGGAGCACCCGGCGGAGAGAAGAAACGCACTGTTGGAAGTCAGCCATATTGAAGTCTATCTTAAGTTTATCATGGTTGTTGTTGGGAAACATTTTACATGTTTGCTTATGGTGGTTTAGTGGGAAATCCAATCACTTAACTGCTAACAAGTCAGATTTTTGCTCCCCTTCCAACGTCAACCAAGTTATTGGGATCCCCAGGCCCACAGGGATGTGCTGTTATTTAGGCCACCTGCCAAGTAATTATTTTTGTTTTGAACTGGATGCTACCAATATAAGCGCAGTATCTGCCCCTTAAGCCTCTATACCTTCAAAACCCATACTATTGACCCCAGACGAATAAACACCTGGTTGAATTTGATTGGGGGGGTGTCCTCTTTTGTGGAGCTTCATCACTTTTGGAGGGGGCGCCCTAGGACGGGTTTATGAATTCACCGTCAGCAGAACCTGAACATGTGGAATATGCCTTTCATGTTTGCATAGCAGTTGTATATCCCATTTACAGAAAGGGACCCTTGATTCTCTGGCACTCCAAAGATCCACCCCAACCCTGCCCTAACTCCAGTCCAACACAGGGTGATTTTTTCCAGAGGGCGTACTCCCAGGGTGTAACACTATCCAATCAACTATCCACTTAACCTGGAAGTGCACAAAGCCCCTTTTCAAGAGGAAAGTTGTCTTTCCACGGGGGTTTGTGCGATTCCATGGAATCGTCGGTGGGAGGGAGGGCAGAAGAATCAATGGTGAATGCATCCACCGTTCTTTACCCAAGGATGTTCATCCAAGTTGGGTCCTTGGCATCATTCTGGGGGCGTTTGAAACCCAAGGGCCACGTAAACCTTTCACAGTTCAGCATCGCCTTGCTGCCCTCGCCTTTGTTTATTGCCTGTGTCTTGGCGTCTGTTTCGCGCGGGTTTCCTTGGGTTTTCTTGGCGGGTTTCCGGCCTAGGTCTCTCCCAAGCCATTCCCTAACCACCGTTCTTTACCCAAGGGTTTTCATCCAAATTGGGTCCTTGCCATTCTGTTGGCAAGGAACTCCAGGGCCAGGGTGTGGTCCATCCCAGTTGGCTGTTAGGCAAGCGGTGCCTCCCAAGCCTCCCAAGCCGTCGGCAGGCGCGGGCTTCGGCTCCGTGGCCATCGGCGACGCCGCGTGCCGGGCGCTCTGGGGCCAATGCGAAGGCTTCGCCATGTCGGCGCAGCGGGCCTGGGAGCTTTGGCTCGGTGTCGTCTTCCATTTGCTGGAGAATGTGTGTCTGTGGGTCAAAACCCTGTATGGTGAACGTCAGAATAGGTACATGGGTGTTCATCCGCCCCAAAATGGAGCCATAGGTTATGTGACCCATGGCCATGCGTGTTTGTTTTTTACTGTCCCCCTGTTGCATTTAAAGGGAATCCATAAATACAGTGTTTTTTCTTATACATATATATATATATACATATATGTATGTTGAGCAGTGACGTCTCAGAAGTGTCCATTTGTTTGAGATGTGTTCTCATGTTTCCTTTGTATCACTAGAGGATGTGTTTATTATTTTCGCAGGTGGCTTGAGCAAATGGAAGTTGTGTGTGCTTGGCATAAGGTTTCCTCCAGTTCAGCCGCGCCACAATCAACCAAAAACGGCTAGATGAAGGTTAGAAAGGGATAATCCCAATCATAAATTGGTGCGGCCACTTTTCCATGTTCTTTTTGATTCTGACTCATTTCCTTTTTGTTCGAACCGCCAAAAGTGGGTTTCCGATCGTTTCAATGGAAGCAACCAGTAAATTCTTCAACTTTTGATTTGGGAAATTCGGGTCACTGTGGAATGTCCTTTTCCTTTTTTGGGACAACAGTGGTTCCCTTCCGGTTTCTCTCCCCCACTCCCCCTCCCCCCGTTTCCTCCTTAAGCAGGGTCGCACGAGGAACGGCTTGCTCCGACCCTGAAACCTCCAGGCCAGAATTTGTGCTTGAAACTATACAGAGCCTGGGTCTTTGTCTATACGGCAGCTATTCAGGCTGTACACCCATATATATATATATACTATGTTTTTACATACGTATCTCAATATGTATATATGTATATATGTATAGATACATATATATATATATATCAAGAGAGAGAGAGAGATATGGGGACCAACAAGGTTGCATCAATACTGACCGAAGAAGAAAAACACAGAAAACAGGCGGCATGCAAAAGTGTTGGCCCTTGGTCTAGGTCCCCCAGTAGTGCCCTTTCTCACCCCATTTTTCGGGGAGGGTTCCCCTACTAAAATAGACAAAATCGAAAAACAAAAACAAGTTGGTACCAACTTATTCTAATCTCTCAAATCTGGAGGACCTACAGTTGGCCTTTGATCCAAGGAGAAGGTCTTGCAATGCCCCCTGGCGAAGCAGATCGAGCAGCCCTTGCCGGACCTCACCCCGTAGCCTTGCCTCAGCGCTGACTGGCAGGTCTTGACTGCTGAGTTGGATCTTTAGACTTACCTCTTAAAAACACAAAACTTTTCTCAACTTTTTGGGTAACATGGGCGAGAAATGTCTGTAAAAGATGAGAACTTCCCCAGGGCTTGGAGTTTTAAGGGGTAAGTAGACTAACTTTTTGGGAAGTCAAGGTGTCTTCCACTCAAGCCACAGGAAGTTAAACAAGTTAAGCTTTTTGCAGAGGGTTCAACAGCAACCAAGTAGTAAAACCCCCCACTTACTATTCAGTGGGTTCCTTTTCAGTGGAAAAACCATTCTTCCAGGCGGGCAGGAACCCCTGACTTATAACTTGAGGGTTACTACTCGGGGGTCAACATTCCCTGTCACTGTCCAGCTTGTGTTTTGTTTTTCTTTTCGTCTGTGTCACTTAGGAAGTCATAACATTGGCAAACCAGCGAGACCTCTGTGCTCGTGTGCCTTGAAGTTATGGTTTTGTTTGTGGTCGCTTTCGACCAGCAAAACGTGGTCGCTTTTTGCGGGAGTGGGCGGGGGTCCATTTGCAGGTACTTGCAAAAGTCCTCCTTATGCGAGTGGGCCAGGCGCGAGCTTCGAAATCGATTTGTCGAAGGAACGCCTAGGTCAATCCGTTGTTCGAAACACCTTTGCCGGGTGCAGAACCCCCCCCCCCCGGCTTCGAATGACTTCAGAAGCACCTGCCTTGGGGGCTGCAGAACCGCCCCCCCCCCCCCGCCCGCTTCGTGGCTCGAGCGTCGGGGCGCCGGAGGCGGAGCATCGCGGAGCACCCGCTGCAGATGAGCCGCAGATGGCCGACGCCCTCGCTTCCCAAGCTGCCCTGGGACGAGCGGATCGCGGAGGTGGAGAAAGCCCGGATCGGAGCACCGGGCCGATGAAAAGACTAAAAGTTGTTCTTTTGTTGGAGTGATGTGTTGTTTTTTTGTTTTTTTTGGGGGGGGGGATGTTGTTTGTTTGTTTTTTGCGGGGGGGCGGGGGGGTACCCATGTTTTTTGGCATGGTTCAAAGAAAAGCAAGAGGAAAACCACCTTTTCTTGGTGGGGTCGATCCTCAAATAGAATTGGGGGAGGGGGGGATTTGGACTCCTGGAGATCTTCATGCATGGTTGCCCAAGACTAGAACAATGGAATTGGGACAATGGAATTGGGGGACCCCCTCTCTGCCCAGCGAGGCTGATGGTTTCTGTTTGGTGGACATCGTTCGGCAACACGGCCCCGCCAAGTCATTTTGCTTGTGTTGTACGGGTTGCACAAATATAAGTGTCTACTTAACTAGGTGTTGGTTTGAACACTGGACACTCTCCCGCTGACATGGGTCTCTACACCGACAGGAGGTTTAAGCAGCGGTTGATCCAATAGCAGGTTAAAAGGTAATAGCCGGTCAAGTAGTAAGTCAATGCTTTACTGTTCTTGGCATGTGTTTTAGTTTTTTGGTTGTTTGGTTCTCTTCATTTTTACTGGGGGTCTGCAAAAAAACAGTCAGTTTTACAGTCAAACAAGCGAACCAGACGATCCAATCTGAAGTTACCCAGTCTCACTTCCTTTCTGGCAAGAGGCTGCGAATTCTTTCCCATGAAAATCCACTGAGCTGACGTTCAATGGTGGTTTAGAATGCTTGCTTGTCCAAAGCCAACCTTGTCACGATTTGGTGTTCCTATTGTGGTCCACTTTTCGTCCCGATCCCAAAAGGGTATCTCCTTTTATGTCCTCTAGATAACGTTTTGGATGTGGCTTTCTGGATTCACCCCTGTAGAATATCAACAAAATAGAAAATATTACTTCAACAGGGTTAACAGGCGGGCGAATTCCACAACAAGCGCAAATCCAAGCCACGTTCTTTGCCCGAACCGCCCGAACCCTCAAATTACCCATTATACAGAGGATTCACCAACCGTACTTCTGGGAGTACCTTCCCCATTCTTTCCATGGATCCTTTTTTCTAGAGAACCTCAAGAAAACCCCGTGAAAATGACCGGTTGTTGAAATGAAGGATGGTTGAGAAGAATGGGGAAGGTACAACCTAACCTAACAGTTGTTTTCTTGGTTTTCTTCGTGTTTTTGGGTTTGGGGGCTGCAAACACCAATGGAAAAAACAATGGTTGAGAAGCATTTTGAAAAGGAGTCAACCCCTAGACAAGTAGGTCCTTGGTACAACCTACAGTTGTTTTTTGTTTGTATGGAAGAATGGGGGTTGAGAATTTTTTGTTGACCAGGAATCAACGCCTAGAACAATCCATTTGGAGCCTTGCCATCCCAAAACGGCCAACCTTTTCTAGAACCATCCTTTTGGTGGACTCAACCCCTCGAACACTTTTGGGGCACAAGTCCGGGTCGACCGATCGCCTTTCCCGGAGGAACCGATCGCCCCCAAAACCCGCCAGGGACGGAGCTCCAATTCGAGCTCCCTGCTTCGGCGCCTGGAGGTGTGGGGATTTTTCTCTTCGCGCGCGGTGAGTCCATAGGTGTTTTTTGTTTTTTTTTGGGGTTGTTTTTTGGGGAAAAAGAGATGGTCTTGGTTTACCTGGTGGTTTTGTGTGTTTTTTGCTGGTGTTTGGTTGTTTTTGGTTGTTTTGGTGTTTGTTGTTTTTGGTTTACCTGGTGTGTTGTTGTTTTTTAATTCATCTACCAGGGAATTTGTTGACCCCAGAATTTACCTTGGCTGACCTCCTGAACACTCAGATTTGGGTTGCACCATCTTCGGTCGGTCTCTCCAAAGAGGTAGCAGTTTCCTTCTGTTCCCATTCTAGGTCCCCCAGCTAGGTGCCCTTTCTCTACCACCTTTTTGGGGGGAGGGTTCGGGACCCTACTAAAATAGACGACAGAAAAAAGAAACGATACCCTGATTCTAACCTCTCTACTGGAGGACCTAGTCAACAACCAAGGAGTTTTAGTTAACAGGGGGGTGGGGGCCCCTCCAAAAGTGGCCTGATTCACCCCAGGCCCCTATTACTAAATTGGGAGGTTGGTAAAATATGTGGTGACACATGGATCATACAGGGTACACACCCCAGAGTCCATCCCTTTCTCCCTGGCCTAGAAGTGGCCTATGCCCATTTGGAGCATGTAACTTGGCCCTTTGCTTTGGTTTGTTTGTTTGTTTCGTTTGATTTGTTTCGTTTGATTTGATTTGTTTCGTTTGTTTGTTTGTTTGGTTGATTTGATTTGTTTCGTTTGTTTGGCTGGTTTGTTTTGTTTGATTCCTCGCTCCGCGAGGTTCGGTTTGGTTACCCTTGGTTTGGAGCCCGGCGGTTTGGATTTGCAGTTGAACGACCCCTAGCATCCAAACCCCCCGATCCAAACCCGCCAAGTAGGGGGAAGCGTCTTCAACCCAACTGTTTGCGATGAAGGACTGGACATGGTCCAAAGAAGTGGTCCAAAGGACTGGACATGGTCCAGCTTCTTCAATTGCCTCAATTCTAGTGGTCCAAAGAAGTTAGGGCTGGCCAATGTGCTCAGGTGAGTTTTGGGATGCCCTTGCAGAGAAGCACGAAACAAATAAACCTCAAGATGGTTGTGCGAATGAGGGGATCTTCAGCTGTGATACTGTGGATGGACAAAATCCTGCACCACCACTAAGAAACCATGAGACACCATTGCCTCTTGGTATTTACAGGAGAATCAACATTTCAGGGTTTCTAGGTGTTGCAGGATTTCATTCATTCACAGTAGCAACAAACCTTGCCCTTTAAAGAGTCGGTCTTTGGGCAGGCCTTCTAGTACCAGAGCTGTCAAGGCTAGAAGAGTGGTTTGGTTTCTGTTGGTTTCCCTTGGGCGTCTATTCGTCTACCCTTGTGCGCGGTTAAGCAATGGGCAATCCCCCTGAACTGGTGCTTGGGTGGCACAATTGCAAGGAGGAACTCAAGAGTTAGAAGATGCATACCTCTCGATCACAAATGCCGATGAACAAGACACTGGTGGACCCGTTGTTAAACAACAAAATGGGCGCCATTTTTGGGCGCACATCCCCTATTTTTGACGCATCCCTGTGAGTTGTCAGGCGGCCCTCAACCCCCCAAAAGAGGCACCCAAGAGGAACCCCAAGGCCCATGCTTTGCCTGGGATTGGAGGGGCTTGTTGGGGTGGCCCTTGACACCGATCTGATACTCACTTTCTGAGTTCATGGGCTTTCTTAGTCAGGCCAATTCAGTGGCGAAAAAGTTGAGACTTCTTGTTGGCCAACCCACTCGAGAAGTGAGGACATGTTCGGGCCCCGTTCGTGGCAGCTTGCGACTTGTGACTGACGAGGACGACGAGTCAAAGAGCCCGGACGACGGCAACTGGGGCACTTGGTACGTGGCGGCGGCCTTTGTGCAACCCAACAAGGCGAGAGTGAGAAGGGCAATGCGGTGGCAAATGTCTAAATTTAAACTACATCGTCTTAGATACTTCAACTGTGGTCCCACCAAACTTCGCGTGTTGACAGTTGCTCAGTGCGTAAACCCCGTTGGGTTTGCACAACAGTGGGGTCTGTTTCTTTTCCTTGTCGGGTCTCGTCTTTGGGTCGGCAAAGGGAAGCTAAAAGGATACCAGCCATTCTGCGGGTCTCAAGAATGAGACTCCCAGTTGCTCCCGGATCCACAGACGGTTGTTTCAAATTCTGTCCAGAACACCTATGTGACATCCATTAATTTAATGGTTTGACGTGTGCGCATGCATGGTTGTGGGACATGGTTTGTGTTCGGTGGATTGAGAAGATTCCCACTTCTTGAGAAGTGCGATTGGGGAACAGGGTCGTTTCGCTCCTGGAATGTAATTCATATCAGGCCGTTTCGTGGGAACTGGAAAAGATGGGACTGTGATGTCCATTTGGCTGGCTGCCTTCTAGAGCGCCATGTCCTGACATCATTGGATTTGTATGGCCGCAGATGCCGTCGTTGATTTAATGGGAATTGATCGACTCCGATTTCTATGGCTCCAATGGTTGCTGTCAAACCTTTTGTTGCTTTGTTTTTCTTGATCAATTTGTGGCTCAAATTGATTGGTTTTTCTTGATTGCTTGTGGCTCAAATTGAGTGGTCTTTCTTGATTGTTTGTGGCTCAAACTGATTGGTCTTTCTTGATTGTTTGTGGCTCAAATTGATTGGTTTTTCTTGATTGCTTGTGGCTCAAATTGATTGGTTTTTCTTGATTGCTTGTGGCTCAAATTGATTGGCTTTTCTTGATTATTGTTTGTGGCTCATGTTTGGTTAATTGTATGTGGCTCAAAGGCATAGTTACCAGGTAAAATACCCGCTTCTTCAGCCACAAGACCTGCGCTTTCAACCAGTTCAACCAATGTTTCGCCACAAGACCTGCACTTTAAGGGCTGAATAGGGGCTTCCTTGGGCTCCCTCCCCCTCCCCTCCCTCCCCCACAACCCCCATGAAGTCTTGTTCCGCCGTCACCCTTTCATGTGTGGGCTAGCACGTGGCCAGAGACAGTGATCGAGCCTTTTTGGGTTTGCAAAAAACAACAAAACAAGTTGAACCCCATTTTTTCGGCCTTCCCCCCCGACTTGTGAGAAACCATCTCACTCCTTCCGGGGCCTTTACCTGAGGTGATGGCAGGCAGTGTGCCAAAGCTTGGCATCTTGGCCGCACCCGACTACCCCCAGGTTCCTGATCCGCATGGAAGTGAACAAACAAAAAAGAACTCGGTTGTTTTTTTGTTTAGTCGACCTGAAATGACAACTTTTATCTTGGTGGCTCTTTTTAGTGGGGGGTTTTTCAATTTTACCCACTAAAAGTTGTCGACTTTGAGCAGGGGATCTGAGGGCAGTCCAGTTTTGGTTTCTGGTTGGTCAATGCTTCGGTCATGGCGGGGTGTTCCATGACCTCGCCGCGAGAGGTCAGCTGGAACTCCTCGGCGGCGAGGAGCTGGGCCGCTTCGGCAGGGGGGAAGTTTCGGTGGGGAGACGTTTCCTCACTCCCAAGGACTTGATGGGGCTTTACTTGCTGGTGCGATAAGTAGGACTGGGATGGAAATGGGGACATGTCGCTTCCTTTTGGAAGAAGCAAACGGGAAAATGGAATATATGATATGCTTCCATTTGGAAATGGGAGACATGTCATGGTTGTTGTTGGGACACATTTTACATATTTGCTTGTTGTGGTTTAGTCGTTGAAATCCAACCACTTAACTGCTAAAATGTAAATGGTTGCTCCCCTTCCAACGTTAACCAAGTTTACTTGGTGCGGAAATGGAATGACCCGTGCCGGCTTTGGCCCCCTTAAAGGACACCACCAGTTGGATGGTTTTTCTTGGGGCCAGACTCCATTTCTCAATTGCTGAGCACCAGCAACTTTATTCACTTATTGGGTTTAGTTGCCATTTTAGCGGTAAACTAAAACCTGGTTACCCATCCACTTAGGAAGTGAGTTTCCTTTTTGGGCACCTCTCAATTGTTTCAATGGAATCCACCAGTAGGTTGATCAACTCTTGATTTGGGGAATCCAGCTTCCCTGTTGTTTCAACTCTTTATTTTGCAAGGGCGCTTATCCTCGCTCTCACTACAGAAACTTGGCACCCGACAGCACTCCCTTCCCTCTCTCAGGTGCCATGTTAGTGGGAGGAAGGGCACGCGACCAAAGCAAATCAACCTGGAAAGACAACTTCTTGTTTTCTCATTGTTCACTTTGAAAAGGTGGTCACCTTTCATTTCCAGGTCCTGCGGGCAGGCAAGGGAAACCCCCAAAAAAGCCAAGCATCTATTCATTTACCTTGGCTGACTTCCTGAACACTCAGATTTGGGTTGCACCTCTTCGGTCGGGCCAAAGAGGTAGCAGTTTCCTTATGTTCCCATTCTAGGTCCCCCAGCGATTGGTGCCCTTTTACCGTTTCTTTCTTTGGGGGAGGGTTCGGGACCCTAATTAAATTAGACGACAGAAAAAAGAAACGGTACCAACTGATTCTAACCTCTCAACTGGAGGACCTAGCATTCAATCCCAAGCAGGATTCGGGTTATCCCAAGCCCAATGGCCCATGGAACGAGAGCACTCCTTTGGAAGGCTGGGGGTTTGGTGGCTCACTTGTCACTAAACATCGACCTGGAATGACCAAGTCCGGTTTTCCTATTTTGGCAGCCACTTTTGGTGGCTACCAACTTTGTGCGCTGAAATATGTGCAGTTGTTGTTTTCATGGGGGGCTGGTGGGTTGAATTGACACAAAAGCACACCGTCGCAAGTAAAACGCCACCCCAAATAGAGCACCTTCAAACTTTTGAGCTCCAAAGCACCCTTTTTGGAGGGACGCTGACAGATGCCTGGACTTTCAACTATCAGGTACCTGTAGTAGGTGAGTTTTTGACGGGTTCCTGGTTCTTGTACATGGTAAAAGGGAAACCTCTCCCCGAAACACCTGCAAACCACCTCCCTCCAACGGTTTGGGGTAGAGGACACATCGACCGATGCGAGCTGAGGGCAGGTGTCTCACATGGCCATGACCCACTCAGATGGTGGAACCGCCGAGATGTTCCTGGCATCCATGACGAATGCCCAGCTGCTTGGCAGGATGGCAGGACAGGGGCCCCATGATACATGTGGGTATCTGCCAAACTAGCATGGTTGTTGCTGGGACACAGTTTACATGTTAGCTTATTGTGGTTTAGTGGGAAATCCCCACTTAACTGCTGAAATGTAAGTTGTTGCTTCCCTTCCAACGTCAGCCAAACTAGGGGTACCACCAAAATGGTTGGTGTCCTTTTGGTTTCCCCTGACACCAAGCCCCAAAAGCTGCAGCCTCAGAACCAACCCCCCCCTCCACACACACACACACAGCCCTGGGGCCAATTGAAACGGACCCCTTTACCAGGTGATTTGGAGGTCCGTTTCTCACTCCTCGGAGTTCTGAGCCCATGGTGAACGAGCCCGACTCAGGAAGCCCAAAGGGGAGACATGGAGACTCCGAAAACCCAGCGCCTAGCAGCTGCCACGTAAGTAAGGGAACCTTTTGCCATGGCCATAAGGACCCCAGTATCCTTGTTTGTCACCTTACCTGACCTTGGGGGTGATCTCCTATGGTTGAGTTACGTCAGGCCGAGCCCTTGAACGCAGTTTGACGCAGTCCCACTTAAGTCGGAGTGCAGTACTACTTCCCGATGATCATGCTGCTGATGCCGACGATGAACGCGGTGCTCGCGTTGGGCTCCCTTCTTCAAACAGGTGAAGAATAAGGATCTGTGCACATGCCTACGAAGCCTCGCCTGCTATAGCTGACTGTAGTGAGACGGACAATTTGGAGCCTGGCTGTGAAAAACATGGCTGAAAATTGCGTGTGATACCAAGTAGATCCTCCTTTTATGTTATAAAAGATAGTCATGGGCCATCGCCACTGGCACAGAACTCGGCCCATGCGTCATGCCTCACACGCCGACAGTCGAAATCCTGGAAGTTCGTCGGTCGACACCAGGGTCCAATGTCAGGTAGAAGCTTTGCGGCTGGGGTTTCTTGCAGTCTCATTTGCGTGCATTGGCAACTCCAAAATCTCACTTCCTGAGTTCCTGGACTTTAAACTTTTCGGGAAGACCATTTTAGTGGTACATAAAAAGTTCGGACTTTTTTTGGCAGATCCACTCAGGAAGTGAGAAATACTTACCAACAATATGGTCCAGGAACTCAAAGAAGAAGCATATGATTTTGAAGCCTCGCCCCCCTCCCCTCCCCGCACTTCCGGCCGACCTTCAAAGAGCCAGTGGGGGTGGATCTTATCTTCCCCAGAATTAGCTCCCCCTTTTCCTTTTTTGCTTTTTCGCGGCCCCCTTTGTTTTCCACTCACCAGGCAACAAATAATAATATCTTATTGCTGGGGTCCTGATTCCAGCCTAGCTTACAGCAGGGGGGGATGCTGCCAGTGGCTTGGTGTCCTTCACTAACCAGGCAAAACATATATATTTTTTCGGCTGGGGTCCTCTTCCAGCCGGATCTTCTGTGGCTTCCAGAAAGCGAGCCAGATGTTGAGGTCCGAGACCGTGATCCGGTACAAGTACGCCCTGCTCGAAGGCTGGCTCTGGGGGTCCCCCAGCGGTCCGGGGCCCTTTCTCATCCCTTTTTTGGTTGGGAGGGTTCAATTCCCTACTAAAATAGACTACAGAAAAAAGAATCGGTGCCCTTATTCTAACCTCTCTACTCAAAGAAACCTAGCTGGACATGTGGTGCTCTTGTGCTGATCTTCCAGTCATTCAGGGATTTTCGTTGAGGGAAGTTGGGGGGGCCTTTCCATTCGCGCATGAAAGCTGCCCTGGAATTTCACATTCCAAGAGCACGGTGGAACATTTGGTACTATCTTATGGTGATGGTAGAAACAAGGTTCAGCCAAAATGTGTTTGTTTCCCTTACTAAACATGGAATCTGCCGCAAAGAGGGGTTCCTTGCTTTCTTGCACCTTGCTACCTGCTAACACAGAACCTCATAGGACGTCCATGGCAGCTTCCATGGCAGAAGGGCTCTTGTTTAATTGGCCAGTTTGTTTTTTTGCCAACCGGCAATCGTGAACAAGGGTTGTACTAGGCTTAGGCCCTGTTAGGGTCTCTTAGGTGCCATTGACCTGACTGGGATGGGCGGGGAGCGCCGTTTGGCCCCTTGGCAACAGCATCTGACCAAGCTCGGTTTTGTCTCCTTCATCCTTCTATTAGTCACTGATTGCCAGCCAGTCATTGCTTCACCTCGGGAAGCTGAAGCGAGATGTGCTCTGTTGCCCAAAGCGAATCGACCTTTTGACCTTGTGGTTTCTCCTTTTTGGTCTAGTTTTAGTCATGGCCCCAAAAGGTTAGCCTTGTATTTCTGGGTCCTTTGGGCAAGTGAGTGTGGCATGTCAACCGCTTGAATGGGATTTCGCAAGGGGACTGGGAAAAGCAATCTGCACATCGGGGTTTCGCGCTGGGCGTCCAACTTGACGGGGCCTGTGGGTATGGGGCCCTGATCATGTGACTTGGAAAGTCAGCAGGTCAATTGGGTGTGGCTCAAAATTAAGCAGGAGGGGCAGACCGCAGGTTTTGGTCCACGTTTCCACTTACCAGGGTTCCATTTCGGTACCGGTTTTTTGAGCCACAGCCAATTGTGCGTGCTAAGGGGGACCCCGGATTAAGCTTGTGGCTGATTCATAGGGGGAAAAACGGTCCCTTTCAGTGGGTTTTATCACTCTTGCAGGGAGCAGGCCCCCTATTCACAGGGCGGGCTTATGAATCCGGGGGGCAGCATTACCTTTCAAGCGGGTGTGGTCTGGAACATGCTTTAAACGTGCGCGGTGTTTCTGGTTCTTTGCACTAACTTTCTCCTCTCTCTTTCAACTTCCAGCCTTGTCCCCCATTTGCTTAAGAAAATGCTCTATTTTCCGTTCTTGGGTTTGAAAGGAATTAATCACTACTGGAATATTTTGTTTTTCCTGGGGCCTTAACCAAATGGACGTTGTTTCAGCTTCGTCCAAAAGTAAACCCAGCTTGAGCTGTTTCGAGGGGGTTCTACGTGCACGAGAACAATGAGTTTGCACATGTTTTTGTATCATTTTAGCGCGGCCGACCCATTTCCTGCAAAATATCAAATTCTGCTACTGGTTGGGTATGCTAACTGGTTGCGCTATACCAAAGTGTTTCCAAGGGATTTGGAGGAGACAGGTTGCCCTTGCATCAGGTATGAGATGACCTGGAGTCATGACCATGTTAAATCATGCGGGGCATTGCGGGGCTGTGGAACACAAATTTGCCTTGTGGCATCCCTTTGGGTCATTGACCCCTGATTCATGTAGCAGCGTACGCCACTGGGGCCTGCTTTTTTTTGAAACCAGGCCAACTTTGGCACTAAACGTTTTGTAAGGTTCATGGCAGCCATGGATGGATGCTTCGGCAAGACATGTGGCAGGGAAGATCACCCTGTCTTCGGCTGCAGTTGTGTGGCCTGCCGAAGATGCGAAGAGGCAGGTCTTCTTTGCTCTCGAGTTTTTGGCCGGACTAAAGTTGCACCTTGGAAGACTGATTTTTGTGCGCAGCTATCGGCGCTTAGAGATGGTTTTTTTTTCCTGGAGGCTGGGTTCTGGCCACTTCTTGGCCGCTAAGGTTCCAACGGGAAGTGGGGCCAGCGTTTGGCAACATCTTACATTTTTGTCATTTACACAAGCTCACTCCCTGAAAAGCCTGGACTTTAAACTTTTGGGAGGACCGTTTTCGTGGCGATTCAAAGGTTTAGACTTGTTTTGGGCCAACCCACTCGGGAAGTGAGCAAGACATCACTCTGGAAGCAGTGTAAATCCGAGGTCTTAGGTTGAACATTGACTTCCATTTGCTGAAATGAATGTGTTTTATTCAGTGAACCTATCGCTACTGGACACATACGTTCCCTTAGCATAGGGAATCAATCGCGACTGGACATGTTATGATTACTATTTTTCCAGGCGGCTTCAGCAAATGGAAGCATGACAGAGAATAATTCGTTATATAGTCTCATCTTATGCAAGTAGAATGACTGGTTGGTGTTCCGTGCGCTTCTCATTTGGGTTTGCTTTCGGGGTGTTGTTGAACCAATAGAACAAGCGCGTTTTCGCAAAAGTAGATGGTCAGCAAAAAACACAGAGAGGTACACGTTGCAAATCAAGCAAAGGCGGGCGGGGTGCAATGGTTGAGCTTCCTTTCGGGGGGTATCTTCCGTGTTCGAACTTTGGGTTTCGGCAAGGCAAAGCCCTTAAAGTGAAAAAAACACCCAATTCGAAGAGGACGTGATTTAGGAAGACGACCATCCTCTTGAACAGGCCTGTGTTGACTTCCATGGCAGGAAAGTAGTTAAGGAATGTGAGGAAGTCCATTTTTCTCGGAAAGGAACCTCTAAAGTTTCCATGTTTGTGGCTGGAAGAGTACCCTTGTTGTCACTTGCCGAAGGAAAACCAAAGTGGACACTTTTTAGTTTGGAGGGCTGCGTGGCATAAACCCATAAGGTGTGACAATGAAGTAAAGGAGGGTTCAGGCAGTTTCGGGGTTGTCGGGGATATGATTCGGGCTTATTGTTTTTGGCAGGGGTCCCCTTAAAACAAACCAAAAGCTAGAAGGATTGGCTTTGTCCACTCCATTGAGGGGTGAAAGGGGCAAGGTCCTGAGCAATTTCGGGTCAAACTACCAAGACAAAGAGTACACCCCAGAAATCTTGGGCAATTCATCCCGCTTTTTTTGAGGGACTTTGGGGCTGAAACCACCGTTAAAAAATGGGGGGGGTGTCTATAACCACCTTTCTTTACCTAAGAATTTTCATCCTCCAACTTGGGTCCTTGCCATTCTTTTAGGTTGAATATTAATGTTGACCTATGATTAATAAATAGGGCCCCCCCCCTGAATGACCATAAATAAAGATTAGGGGGGAATTTTCAGGGTCGGGCCTTGTTTAAAGGAGTTTAGTATTGGGCTCAGTTTTTTTGGTTTTCGAATACTACTCTAGAATTGGGCCAATTCAAAAGTAGTATTGGGCATGTTGTTTTTTCTTATTTTGCTTTGGGGGAATACTAGTTTAGAATTGGGCCAATTCTAAAGTAGTATTGAGCCAAGAACTTTTGCATGCATTCCATGAGGGTTTGCATGGGCAGGCATGTATTCCAGGAGGGATTGAAAAGGACATTCATGAGGGGCTGGCATGCATTTCAGGAGGAGGGATTGAGAAGGACATTCATGAGGGTTTGCATGGGCTGGCATGCCTTCTACGAGGGATTGAGAAGGACATTCATGAGAGTTTGCACGGGCAGGCATGCATTCCAGGAGGGATTGAAAAGGACATTCATGAGGGTTTGCATGGGTTCCAGGAGGGATTGGGAAGGAAATTCATGAGGGTTTGCATGGGCTGGCATGCATTCTGGGAAGGGTTGAGAAGGACATTCATGAGGGTATATTCCAGGAGGGATGAGAAGGACATTCATGAGGGTTTGCATGGGCTGGCATGTATTCCAAGATGGATTGAGAAGGAAATTCATGAGGGTTTGCACGGGCTGGCATGCATTCTAGGAGGGATGAGAAGTACATTCATGAGGGGTTGTATGGGCTGGCATGTATTGCAAGATGGATTGAGAAGGAAATTCATGAGGGTTTGCATGGGCTGGCATGCATTCTAGGAGGGATTGAAAAGGAAATTCATGAGGGTTCTGGCATGCGTTCCAGGATAAATTGGGAAGGAAATTCATGAGGGTTTGCATGGGCTGGCATGCATTCTAGGAGGGGTTGGGAAGGACATTCATGAGGGTTTGCATGGGCTGGCATGTATTCATGAGGCTTTGCATGGGCTGGCATGCATTCTAGGAGGGATTGAGAAGGACATTCATAAGGGTTTGAGTGGGCTGGCATCCATTCCAGGAGGGATTGGCAAGGAAATTCATGAGGGTTTGCATGGGCTGGCATGCATTCTAGGAGGGGCTGAGAAGCACATTCATGAGGGTTTGCATGGGCTGGCATGTATTCCAAGATGGGTTGAGAAGGAAATTCATGAGGGTTTGAATGGGCTGGCATGATTGGGAAGGAAATTCATGAGGGTTTGCATGAGAAGGAAATTCATGAGGGTTTGAGTGGGCTGGCATGCATTCTAGGAGGGATTGAGAAGGAAATTCATGAGGGTTTGAGTGGGCTGGCATCCATTCCAGGAGGGATTGGCAAGGAAATTCATATGAGGGTTTGCATGGGCTGGCATGCATTCTAGGAGGGGCTGAGAAGCACATTCATGAGGGTTTGCATGGGCTGGCATGTATTCCAAGATGGGTTGAGAAGGAAATTCATGAGGGTTTGAATGGGCTGGCATGATTGGGAAGGAAATTCATGAGGGTTTGCATGAGAAGGAAATTCATGAGGGTTTGAGTGGGCTGGCATGCATTCCAGGATTGGGAAGGAAATTCATGAGGGTTTGCATGGGCTGGCATGCATTCTAGGAGGGGTTGAGAAGGACATTCATGAGGGTTTGCATGGGCTGGCATGTATTCCAAGAGGGATTGAGAAGGAAATTCATGAGGGTCAATGTGTTGATTTTGATGGTTTTTTAAAAGGAAATCTAAAAGAAAGGGATCCCATAAATTTGTGGATTTGGGATACATCTAGAATCAAGTGTGGGATGAGCCAAGTGGAATGGAAAGCTTGACCATGAATAAAGATAAGGGGATCAGATCTATTTTTGATGGAATCTGGTTAGCATTATTCATGGTCTGGTTATTATTTAGTGCCTCAGGGTTCATGGAAGGTACCCTTGTGGGATGAGCCAAGTGGAATGATGGTGGAATCTGGTTAGCAATATTCATGGTCTGGTTACTATTTAGAGTCTCAGGGTTCATGACCCTGAATAAAGATTGGATGCCAAAAGCATGCAAATCTCATGGTAAACCAGGTTTGCCTGGCATGATCCCTGGATAAATTCACTATGAAACCGTGCAAATCCCATGGTGGATGAGGGTTGGGGAGCACTGACCCTGAATAAAGGTTCGATGCCAAAAGCGTGCAAATCCCACGGTAAATCAGGTTTCCCTGGCATGATCCCTGGACAAATTCACTATGAAACCATGCAAATCCCATGGGGGATGAGGGTTGGGAGCACTGACCCTGAAGAAAGATTGGATGCCAGAAGCATGCAAATCCCATTGTAAATCAGGTTTCCCTGGCATGATCCCTGGATAAACTCACTATGAAACCATGCAAAATCCATGGGGGATGAGGGTTGGGAGCACTGACCCTGAATCAAGATTAGATGCCAGAAGCATGCAAACCCCATGGTAAATCAAAATCAGGTTTGCCTGGCATGATCCCTGGATAAATTCACTATGAAACCATGCAAATTCCATGGGGGATGAGGGTTGGCCTGAATCAAGATTAGATGCCAGAAGCATGCAAATCCCATGGTAAATCAGGTTTCCCTGGCATGATCCCTGGATAAATTCACTATGAAACCATGCAAATTCCATGGGGGATGAGGGTTGGGAGCACTGACCCTGAATAAAAATCTGCATTTTGCATGGACCCCAATGGGAATTCTAGGTTCTTTTGTGAGCTGCGGAACTCAGGATTCATTCATTCATGTGGGGGGAAGGTTATTGTTTTGAATTACTTTATATTATTTTGTATTTTTTTCATATTTTTCCACTGGGAAAAACGGTTAGCATTATTCATGGTATATTTATTTTTTGGAAATCTTAATCATGGTCTATTTACTAATCGTAGGTCAACATGAGGGTTCCCGTCAAAGCAACACACGTCCGCCCAGGTGGCCCCCCATTTTTTTCATGGGGGTTGAACCCCTCAACCACCACACAACCTGTTAGAGGGAAGCACCCCAGAATTCTTGGGCAACTCACCCCATTTTCAGGGACGTAAGGGATGTTGGAGGGAGGTTCCTTCTTTCCGTGTTCTTTTCCCAAAAGTTGTTCCCCTTTTTACTTTTTTGTGCTTTTTGTTGGGGTTCCCTTTGTTTTCCACCAACCAGGGAAAATAAATAAATGTTGTTTTGCTGGGGTCCCCTTCTTCCAGCCTCTTCAGGTCTTTGCGCTGCAACCTGGTTGTTGGGAAACATGTCTGACATGTTTGCTCATTGTGGTTTTGTGGTTAGTGGCTGAAATCCAAATCCACTTAACTGCTAAAGTTTGAGAAGTTTTGCTACCCAAACCCAACGTCAACCAAGGCAACCTCTTCAAGGCTTCACCCAAGTTTGTCGTTTCGGAGGCGCGTGGCGCGCCTCGCGGCCGGCGGAGGCGGCGCCGCCGGCGCCGCACTGTACGTGGCGGACGACGAGGGCCACGTCTCGGTGCTGAGCGCGGCGGCGCTGCGCAGCGGGGCGAGGACTGGGGCGAGGTGGATCTAGATTGAGGTGCCAAATTATGAGATCCTGGGCCCTGAAGCTGTAGCCCCGAGAAATATTTTGCATCAGAGAAAAGAAGTTCTAGGGGTTGATTCCTTGTCCATTCTTTCCAAGCATCGTTCTTTTCAAAGACCAGCTGTTTTTTTCAGGGTTTTGGGTATTCTTGTAGAAAGAAGGATGCCTGGAAAGAATGGGGATGTTGCTTCCATTTGGAAGAAGGGAATAGGAAATGGGATTGGACCATTTTTGTGGCAGAAGCACGGTTCCCGGACTCCAGGACTTGTTGTCCAAACTCGATGGGACATGGTTGTTGTTGGGAAACATGTTTTACATGTTTGCTTTTTGTGGTTTAGTGGTTGGAATCTCCACTTAACTGCTAACATTCAACTCTTTGCTCCCCTTCCAACGTCAACCAAGATGTTCTTTCATTTGGAAGAAGCAAATGGGAAAAAGGGAACTATGATTTGCTTCCATTTGGAAATGTGAAGTAGATGGATGGTTTGCTTCCATTTGCTGAAAAGAGTAATCTATTTGACGTGTCCCTCGTTGGTTGTTTACAGGGCATCGATTTCACTGTTTGACATATATGTTTGTCGCAGAGGGCTTAAGCAAAGGGAGTTTGTGACAGCCCTGTCGGTTTATCTCACTCACTCAGTTCCTGGACTTTATACATTTTGGCTTCCTTCCGATTGGTGGTGGGTTGGTCGTTTGGAGGGGTTTGAAGGGGGGAGGGGGCTGAAATCCCAATCTAACCAATCTAAACCATATGGGTTGATGAACTTTTTTATTAGCCCAGGGATTGATAAACTGGGGTTGGTAAACTGGGGTTGACTAACCCACAAGCATCATATGAATCAACCCCAATGTATTACTATGGGGGTGTTACCCTGCAAAAGTGATTCCCCACCAAACCCAGGGACACTAAACTGGGGTTGATTCATATGGCTGTGGCTCAAAATTCTTTGAGAACCAGAATGGTCCCAAAAAGTGTGAAGCCCAACTCAGGGAGTGAGCCTAAACTTCCGCCCATCCAGCTTCTCCGGCTGTTTGGCCGACTGCCAGCTACTCCAAAGGCATCGAGGTGCGCAAAGACGCACCAAGACCCTGCCTGATTCAAGACATCCCCTACACTACCTTCCAATGACAACATATCGATTGAATTTCCAGAGCTGCTGCAATGCTATTGCTAGGTGCAATAGCCTCCCTGAAAAAAGAGTCCTGAATTCCAGATCTCAAAGGCAAACGTGCCACTGGCTCTTCAACACCCCCGCGCCCTGCCTGTTTGGGCTCTCTTGCCCCCCATCCCCCGATGGTCCATTTTAAGAATCCAGTAGGATTCCTATAGGGAAAAGGCAAAACAACTTATTGTGACAACTTATTGTGGGGTAGGTGTCTGGATCGGTAGAATTTCCTGCCAGTTTGTACGTGCAGCTCAAACCCCTACTCCTAGGGGAAAAAACAGTGGGACAACCACGGTGACAGAGTATGAACTTTTGGAAAGAGCACGCTTTCTCAACACATCGCCCCCCGCTCCGGGGATTGGCAAGGGAAGCCTTACCCATTACCTTTGTCGCTCTGAACAAAGTTAAACAAGTTCAATCATGTTGACCCCATATGGCTGTGGCTCAAATAAACGAACCAAAATGGCACCTTGGTAGATTGAACCAAAGACTATTAAGCCAATCCACTCTGGCAAGTGAGTTGTTCACTTCTTCATGACTCTAAGATGGCAAGCTACCACACTCAGGGCAATGGGATATACAGCCACCATGTAGCCACCATATAGGGATATCCTGATTTCCCTGGGGCCCTGTAGTGGTTTGGGGGTGGTAGAATCTGTCTTCAAATGCCAATCTCAGGATTTACAGGCCGTTTGTGGGTTCCCTGCCTCACATATTGATGGCCATCCAGTTCCGCCCCTTTTTTTGTTCACAGGATGGATGGCGTTCAGCTTCACGAGACGCCGCTCGGAGCAACAGCGTGTGTGTGTGTGTGTGGTATAGGGTCTCTTGTGGACTTCTTCTCGATCCTTGAGTGTTGTTGCCATGTTTTCAGGCTTGCTGTTCCCTTTCCGTAGGGGGCTGCAACGACAACGTTTTACCCTACCGGTTTCGGGGTGCCCGTCGGGTGGGCTTGAACCTGTCTGGCTTGTTGAACATGTGGATTTGTTCATATTGCCATGCCGGACATGAGCCACAAGGGGCAGTCCCAGCCGGAAATAGTTGCGGATATCCGCCTTTCTAAATCTTTACATGGTTCTGGGTTCACCATGTTTGTACCAGGTCTTGATTGTGACTCACATGATTCTAAGTGAAGTGGTGCAAACACATCATTTTCCAGGTGGCAAACGCCCAAAGGCGAAGTCACAGCGCTGGATTGAGCACAGCGAAGTCCCAGCGCTCGAGTTTCGCAAGTTGGACGTAGCAACACTTCCTTGTGAAGGTAGCGAGGCCGCATGAAAGTTGACCTCGAGAATCATGGCCCGGGGAATTTCAGTAAGAATCTGGGGCAAACAAAATAGCAACCAGTTGGCACATGAAAACATTAGGACCAGCAACATTTGTTTGTCCACAGCAAGTTCAAGGGTCTGAGGGGAGATAGGGGAGAGGATGATCTTATCATGGTTGTTGTTGAAAAACATTTTGCATTTTTGCCTATTGTGGTTTAGTGGGAAATCCCTACTTAATTGCTAACATTTATGTTTTTTGCTCCCCTTCCAACCTCAACCAAGTTATTTTAGTCTCTACACAAAAACCAGTTCTTTTCAAAAACCGGCTGTTTCCCCAGGTTTTTTGATGGTTTCCTGAAAGATTCCCCCAGAGTGGTCTTATTTTAGTCTCTACACAGGTCTCATTTTTTAGTGGCTGTGCGGCCAGGAAGCTGCAGGGGGAAGCGCGGGAGCCGATCACCGGCCTCGCGCTGCTCGCAAACGGCACGCTCATTTGGCGAAGGCCTCAGGCGAAAGCTTCCTGAAAGGGCCATGAGAGACTACACGCGAATCGGGTCCCCGGGTCCCCCATGGTTTGCTTTTTTTGTGGTTTCCCTTCAACTCACTCTGTGAGCTTATGGAATTGTAAATATCTTGGGGAAGAATGTTTTAAATGTAGTGACGAACAAGACGTGTTGACCTGTTTGCAGTCCACGCAGGAAGTGAGCTAAAGCCGCCAAAGAAGGGGTAAACTTACCCCAAAAAAGGGGGACCCATGTTGACCTGAAGTACAATTTTTCAGGAGATACTCGGTGTCCCAATGCCAAAGCCTCTTTGTTCGGGTTATTTTTTATTGAATTCCCGTGGCCTGTCCCTTGGACAAGGTCTTTGAGATAGTGCCCCCACACCCCACACTGCGTGCTGTAGTGCGGGGGCTTTATTCGACTGAATGGGGCTGGAAGAAGCGAGTGGCTGTATCTGACCTGTTCAGTTTCCAAAATATTGATCTTTGTGTGCTAGGTTTCTTCATCATGGCAACTTAGGTCTAGTTTTCCGATCCGGGTGGTTAAAGCGAAAAATACTAATCGTCCTTTGTTGGGTTCCCGCATTTCCAGTGTGGGAATCATGAATTATTGTAATTTGGATAAGCTTAATGGGAGCCCGGATTAATGCCCTGGTTGACTTTGATCGCGGGCATCCGCTAGTGGGTTTCAGGCGACTGGAACACCTTCCAGGACGAGTTAGTCAACTCGGGGTCAACATTAAGCTTAACGTCGATCACAGAAGGTCCTTTGGAGATAAGTTGTCACGTTAAATGTGAGGGTAACTCGAATCCATAGCTAGCTTAGACACTTCAAAGGTCGATTTTGCGCAGGCTGATGACCTTTGATTTCTTTGGTTGCAAGTGGGCGGGCGCACTTACTGCATCTCACTGCGCTTCTTAGAGGCTTCAGCCGTGAGCAGAAGGCCATCCAGCAGTGGCTTTAGGGATCCTTCCTCCCACAGAGCTTCAAGCTTTCCCAAGTTTTGGACAAGGTACAAGTAAGGTCCGGCAGAGCCGGGGGGCGGAAGTTTCAAAGCAGTGAACAACTATAGTTTGGAGAACTGTCCTTGGCCCCTTGCTTCTCTCCCTCTCTCTCTTTTTCTCTCTTTCTCTCTTTCTCTCTTTCTCTCTTTCTCTTTCTCTTTCTGTTTCTCTGTCTCTTTCTCTCTCTTTCTATCTATCTCTCTAGCTATCTCTATATCTGTTTATTGATCTATCTATCTACCCATCTTTCTCTGCACTTAAAAGTTGCGATGTTCAATCCCCGAAAGTTGACTTCGCGTACTACTTTCGTACTTAAAAGTTGCGATTTTCGAGCCCCAGCTGCGAAACTGGACTTCACGTACTACTTTCGTAATTAAAAGTTGCGATTTTCGAGCCCCAGCTACGAAAGTGGACTTCGCGTACTACTTTCGTACTAAAAAGTCGCGATTTTCGAGCCCCAGCTGCGAAAGTGGACTTTGCGTACTACTTTCGTACTTAAAAGTTGCGATTTTCAAGCCCCGGCTGCGAAAGTGGACTTTGCGCACTACTTTCGTACCCCCAGCTACGAAAGTGGACTTCGCGTACTACTTTCGTACTAAAAAGTCGCGATTTTCGAGCCCCAGCTGCGAAAGTGGACTTTGCGTACTACTTTCGTACTTAAAAGTTGCGATTTTCAAGCCCCGGCTGCGAAAGTGGACTTTGCGCACTACTTTCGTACTTAAAAGTTGCGATTTTCAAGCCCCAGCTGCGAAAGTTGACTTCGCGTACTACTTTCGTACTTAAAAGTTGCGATTTTCGAGCCCCGGCTGCGAAAGTTGACCTTGCAAAAATGCTGCGCCTGCCACCAAATCTGTGCTTGACCTTGCTAAAGTGCTGCGCCTGCCACAAAATCTGTACTTGACCTTGCGAAAGTGCTGCGCGTGCCACGAATTTTGCACTTGACCTTGCGAAAGTGCTGCACCTGCCACAAATTCTGTACTTGACCTTGCGAAAGTGATGCGCCTGCCACGAATTTTGTACTTGACCTTGCGAAAGTGCTGCGCCTGCCACGAAATCGATACTTGACCTTGCGAAAGTGCTGCGCCTGCCACGAAATCTATACTTGACCTTGCGAAAGTGCTGCGCCTGCCACGCAATTCAAACCTTGCGAAACCTTCGCGCGGCCGTGCCAATGGGCCCGTCTCCGAACCCGTTCCGAACCCGTTCCGAGACCGTTCCGAGACCGTTCCGAGACCGCCTCCGTACAGGCGTCGCAGCCGAGGTGGTTTGCGCACAGTCCGGAAGCCCAATTCACGCACAGCGCCAACGTTTTCTGCATCTTGCCATCCCCCAGCTCGCAGAGAGTGGACGCAGCACCTTGCGAAAGTGCTGCGCCTGCCACGAAATCGATACTTGACCTTGCGAAAGTGCTGCGCCTGCCACGAAATCTATACTTGACCTTGCGAAAGTGCTGCGCCTGCCACGCAATTCAAACCTTGCGAAACCTTCGCGCGGCCGTGCCAATGGGCCCGTCTCCGAGACCGTTCCGAGACCGTTCCGAGACCGTTCCGAGACCGCCTCCGTACAGGCGTCGCAGCCGAGGTGGTTTGCGCACAGTCCGGAAGCCCAATTCACGCACACGCCTGCAACATCGAAAGTGCTGCGCTGCCACGAAATCGATACTTGACCTTGCGAAAGTGCTGCGCCTGCCACGAAATCTATACTTGACCTTGCGAAAGTGCTGCGCCTGCCACGAAATCTATACTTGACCTTGCGAAAGTGCTGCGCCTGCCACGCAATTCAAACCTTGCGAAACCTTCGCGCGGCCGTGCCAATGGGCCCGTCTCCGAGACCGTTCCGAGACCGTTCCGAGACCGTTCCGAGACCGCCTCCGTACAGGCGTCGCAGCCGAGGTGGTTTGCGCACAGTCCGGAAGCCCAATTCACGCACAGCGCCAACGTTTTCTGCATCTTGCCATCCCCCAGCTCGCAGACAGTGCTTGCGAAAGTGCTGCGCCTGCCACGAAATCTATACTTGAGAAAGCTATCTACGTGTTAAGCTGGCTATATGTCAAAGCTATCTATCTGTCATGCAAGCCTATTGGAAAGCTATCTATCTGTCAAGCTAGCTATATGTCAAAGCTATCTATCTGTCATGCAAGCCTATTGGAAAGCTATCTATCTGTCAAGCTAGCTACATGTCAAAGCTATCTATTTGTCATGCAAGCCTATTGGAAAGCTATCTATCTGTCAAGCCAGCTATATGTCAAAGCTATCTATCTGTCAAGCTAGCTATATGTCAAAGCTATCTATTTGTCATGCTAGCTACCTGTCATAGCTATATGTCAAAGCAGCTAGCTCATTTAGTTCCAGTACTACGGAAGTTTCTTGTTAAACTTCCTTTGATGAGATGCTGAAAATCAACCCCCCAAAAACGTGTATCCTTGTCTCCCCTGGAAATCCACAGCTCCGGGTTGCATGCCCTGAAGCATATCCAACATTCAAGTAGTGGATCACTACGACAAAGGGGGCCGCTTCCACAGCCCAGTTTACACCCTTCTCCAGGTGAGTAAGTTGTTTGTCGTATAGTCTACAACCTAGTTTTGTAGATATTTCCTCCCTTCCCTTCCCCGTAAAGATGGCATGGCGTTTGAACCATGGCAATCGCCTAAGCCGGAACACCTGGACGGGAAGCCAACGAGGACATGTTGCAACACGGGGTTTACATGAGCGCTGGACCCCTTTAAACAAGTGAAGATGTGTCGAAACTAGGGAAGTATACCGGATGCCGGCTTAGTTTGGCGATTCGGGCTTCTAGTTCGCCAGCTGTTATGTATGTTTGCCCCTACAGGGGCTCTGAGCCCTTAAGAACTGCAAGGGGAAAACCTCGGACCAGGAAGGCCAAGGCATTTGTTTCACACACAAAGCATGGCATAGCTCCCTACACTTTGCGGGCATGGTCTTGCCAAATATCATGGCTTGCCAAAGCTTGATCCTGGTGTAGGTGGGAAAGGTTCCACCATCCCTTGCAAACATATTTGGCATCTACAGGAAGGCCAACGCATATCCTAAACGCGATCTTAGCTAGCTTCATCCATCATCTGGAAAAGGTCTTTCCAGTTGAGTAGGTTTTCGCACCAAATCAAAGGCTTCAGCTTGCACAGGTTGATTGGTTGATTTGTTGGTATGGAGGTGAGATACCACTTGTATAAGTGCTTTCTTTTGCGGTGCCAGCTTGAAGAGTGTAAGCATTCATACCTCCTACTGGGCAGGTAAATCTGGTCAGCCCAGCAGTAACCTTTTGGAACGGGACTACAGGATGCAGTAACCAAACAACCCATGAATTGTTCACCTGAACCCTCTAACTACCCATGAAAAAGGCAGTTCGCCCCATCATTTTGGAGCAATAACCAAATTGTAAGGGAATGTTGAGGAGGAATCCCAGGTTTATTTGCAGGACAATTCCTCAACCTGGGCCTATCACAGTGACATGTTGTGACATCCTCACAAATACTCTCTCCAAATGGTTCAAGGGGCAGCACTCCCAGCTGCGATTGCGGAACACCTCAAAATCCATCTCCAAAAGCCACCTGCTTTGCAAGACGCCCGATCCTCTAAATCAGCTGGTATTTGGGGGCGTGATTTGTTTAAGTGGCCGCAGTTGGACTACGTAATCCCCTTTTCTAGGTCCAACCTTCAAGAAGACAACCCCCCCCCCATGTCCACTAGGTCCCCCAGTAGCGCGCTTTTACCCTCTTTTTTTTTGGGAGGGGGGGTTCCCCTACTAAAATAGACTGCAGAAGAATATTGGTACCCTTATGTCAAATCTCTCTACTGGAGGACCTAGTCCAGCAGTCCTTTGGGTCCGGAAATGGAACTCGGCGCATGAGGTCGACACCCTCCTCGGTGTCTTCCTCTTTGACCGATGGAAGCCACGTCTCGGAGCTGCTGAGTGAGACGCAGCTTTTTGGATCGATCCAAGAATATCCCGGCAGGGTTAAAATGGGTCCTTTGGTGCATGTTGCCAAGGGATGTTAGAACTTGAACTGTTCGCCAACTAATGGGTTTTCCGAATTAAACCACTAAAGGTTCAACTTTTAGCAGGTGAGCAGAAAGCAACCGAGGGTGGTCACGCCCGAAAATTTTGGCTGGTTTCCCTTTCGCTCCCGTTTGCTGAAATGATTATTTGTGTGTGTTTTTCCTGAAGTTGGTTTTAGAGGGAACAATTTCTCTACTGGACATTGTTTTTCATTGTTTCCAGGAGGCGAACCAGCTTTGGTTTCCCTCGAAACCAAACCCAAACGGCTACCATCAAACAAAGACACCCCCAAATCAGGGCTGAGATTACATTTTATTTTGGTTCACTCCCTGAAGGAAATGCACATGATTTTTTTGGAAAGACCGTCTTTTTGGCAAACCAACACTTGGAGCTTACTTTATTTGGCATGTATTTGGCTGTCTCTGAGAAAGTTGAGAAAGCTTGGACAAGGCCATGGTCAATGGTCAGGAACCAACCTTTAATTTGGCCACAATCAACACCCCGGTAGATGCAGGTTAGTAAGGGCCACTCCCAGCCCTAAATAGCTGTGGCCGCCTCCTGAATTCTTTAATTGGTTCTGGGTTCACCATTTTAGTACCGGGTTTTGATTGTGGCGCATTGATGGTTGGATTGATTTGGATTTGGATTCGAACGGGTCGGTCACTGGGAAACCACGCCTCCACAGCTCCAAACCACTGATTCGGCTCCAACAAAAGCCACCCTTGTTGACCGAGGGAAGCTGAACCTGGTGAACCCAAAGGCTTCAAGCAGTCAAGACCTGCGGCCGAGAAGGAAAAGACCTGGAGTCTCCATGACCCTTAAAAAATGGGGTCATGGCCCCTTTTTATCTTTGTTTTGGGTAATGGTCCCATTTTTGTAAGGCTCCTGGAGACCCGAGGTAGACATGGATCGATTGTTGTCGTTATTTCTTGGGGAAGACAATCGGATTGGGATGCCATGATGTCCAGCCGTGAAGCCCGCAGCCCGTGGATTTGAGGAAGGGGCTTGGTGCACGGCTGCCTTGGCTTGTCCTCCCTGGTTTGAAGATTACGGGAAAGAGCTGCAAGGCCAAGTTATCGATTAAGGATCAAGGCTAGCGGAGGGGGGGGGGTATTCTGTTTGCTCGGAGTGTCCATGACCCTTGGGGTCATAACCCAAAATGAAGGCATGATGGCTCCATGTGTTATAGACCATGGAGGCTCCAGGTTTTTGGGTTGCCGGGTGCGACTGTGATGTTTGCAATCCTTCGCGTCTTGGCCCACTTTGGGGTTGCGACCAAATTAAAGGCGGACCAACACTGGCCCTTGCACATGATGGGGGATGCTTATTTCGATCTCACCTGGATTACATGAGCTCAGCATGTGCAGGTCCTCTACCCATTTTGGTTTCGTCCGCTAGATTTTCCCCATTTGTCCCATCTGCTTTCACTCCTGGAAACCGGCAGGGATTGCAAATTAAGGGTTTGGCGTAAGGTTTAAGGTCTGGGGTCTAGGGTGTATGGTCTAGTTTCGTGGTCTAAGCTAGGGTCTATGTCTCAGGAAGCCATCACATATGTCAGGGGGTTGCCTGGCTTCACCCCGATATCATACCGAGGCTTCAGAAGATGGCCGCTTCGGCGAAGATCGTAGCGCTCGCAGCGACGTCCAGCCACCTCTTCCTCGCAGTGCATCGAGGAAGCGGGCCGGGCAGAACGGAGCAGAGAGAAGCGCCCTCATTCCATGGTGGTTGTTGGGGGACGTGTTTTACATTTTGCTTATTGTGGTTTGGTGGGAAATCCCTGCTCCGTCTTGGAAAGCAATGGGCCTGTTCGAAGCATCCCTTGCGTCGCACCCAAAACCCGGGTGATGCGGACAGTCTCAACCATAGGGCTGGCATAATTTTGGGTGGACCATTTTGGGTATCCCCGCCAGGTCTCTTAAAGTGGTTGATTGGTGGGGGGAGGGATTTCGACCCCTGGAGATCTCCATCCATGGTAACCCACCCTTGTGTGGGAAGGACCTAAGAATGGGATTGGGGCCACGTAACTCCTAAAATTTAAAATTTGGCTCCCCTTCCAACGTCAACCAAGATGCGACACACAGCGACCCGTCCGCCCTCAAAGTGAGCAATTTGGCTTCCTGGCTCCAGATGGGTGTGTTTCACATGTCATCGGGGACACCAAAAGCTGGTGGTTGTCCTGTCTTTTTTGGTTTTCCCTCAAAACCGTTGCTTTCTGGTAGCAGCCCAGTTGTGGGTATGCACGCATGCTCTTAGCAGCTCAGCTCCCGGATTTCCCCAACTTTGCGAAGCCCGCTTGAAGGTTCTCACATGTTTCTTTGTTTCTTTATTGTTTTTTATGTTTGTACTGTCTTCTTTCTTTCTTTCTTTCTTCCTTTCTTTTTTCCTTCTCTCTTACATTCTTGCATTGCATCTATACTAGGTCTGCCAGTAGTGGGGAGGGTTCCCCTACTAAAATAGACTACAGAAAAAAGTGTACCCTTGTTCTAACCTCTCTACTGGAGGACCCAGTATATATATATATATATATATGTCTTTCGTTCTTGCCTTCTTTCTTCCCTTCTTTCCTTCTTTGTTTCTTGTGTTTTCTTGTTTTTTCTTGTTTGGGTTTCTTGGCATCTTTGTGTTCTTTGTGCCTTTGCTCTTTGTTACTTTGTTACTCTGTTTCATTTGCTTGTTTTTTGGCTTGTACCAAGCCCGTTGCCAGACGTTTACCTTTTTGCTCCTTTGGCATTCCTGTCACTTGCCACCAGCAAATATATGAGCATGAATGTCAACTAAGGGCCATTTGGTGGACTTCAGAATTTTGTGGGGATGAATGTCCACCAGCCACTTTGCACGTGGTGTTCTCTATTAAAAACTCACCCAGCCCGCGGCCACACTTTGCACTTTTTTCCTTGGTGGCGGGCCCTTTTGTTTAGTGGTGAACCCCCAAAAGTGTAAGCACCTTTTTTTCTTGTCTGGTCATTGGCCAAGTCAGAAGGTCATTCTAGGGGTTGATTCCCCATTCTTTTCAATCATCGTTCCTTTCAAAAACGAGCCATTTTCCCTGGGTTTCCGGAGGTTTTCCAGAACGAAGGCTCCCTGGAAAGAATGGGGAAGGTACCCCTAGAGTCATAGCTATGGTTGAGGGCTTAAGTCTGAGGAGGAACCACCCAGAGCTGCACGGTCTACCGCACGGACCTCGCGGGTAAGTCCCCTGTGGCTCTGAGCTACCAGTGGCCAGCGGAGCAGATGTGGCTAGGCGCGTCTCGTATGCCTAACGGGGAGAAAGTTTCTCCAGGAGCTGGTTGGAAGGAAGCCGTTAGGGAGCTAGGGGTATCCAATTTGTGCTTTTAAAGGAGCAGCTAAGGAGCTACCAAAAGTTCTAAGCACATGGTGGTGGTGCTTGGGTAGGTGAAGGGTAGTAAAGGATAATCCCAATCCCAAAAGGGTTGTGGCCGCCTTTTTACCTCGTCACATGGTTCTGGGCGTTTAGTGGGGATTCAGACCGCCTTGCGGAGGGGACTCCCCCACTGTTCATAGGGCGAGTTTATTTGTTTATTGATCCAGGCCCAACATTCTAGCTCGGAGGCGACTATTTTTATTGTAGAAACACCCACTTGGGTGCGTTTTCTTTCAAAGGCAATCCTCAATGCTTCCTTAAGGTAGCAAAGGATCCCCTTGTGAAGTGCTTGTTCAATAGGTGTTTATGGAGCATGTTGAACGGCCCAGCCTGGGTGCAAGTAGATGGCAAAATGAATTCCCCCCAGAAATGTTCAGTGTCCCCTTGAGTTCCCCATTTTCAGTTTTCAAACTATGAACTTTCCGTTAGCCCAAAGGGGCCAGAACCTCAACACTTCGTGTGAACCAGTCGCCTGGGTCGAACATTGGTCAATGAAGTGTGCGCCATGAAATTTGATGTCCCTTGCTTCAGCCACCCCGTGGAAGATTTGAAAGAATGTTTCCGAGTGGTGGAATTGATTCCCTTTAAAACATTGTGCCATCTACTTTTCCCAACTGTGACTGTCCTTTTCAGAAGCCATGTTGCGATCCTTTAGAAGAACGATGGTTGAGCAGAATGATTGGACTCAACCCCAGAATGGAGGCTCGAGATCCTGCTTTTTTGTGGTCTCGCTTCTCCAAAGCGAATCCACTGGATGTGACCGGATCTGGTTTTCCTATGGCAACCACTTTGAGTGGCCCCCAACAGGTGATCGCCTTGTATGTCCAGGTCCTTCGGGCAAGGAGGTGATAAAACTCAAGGTGTGGACTTTTGGCCAGCGCACGGAAGTGAGATGAGATAGAATGAGTCTTTTTCCTACCTCCCACCTTCTATTGCCCTAAGAGTTGATGCCAGGGTTTTGTTTGGGTGCCCAAAAGTTTCAAGTTACCCAACAGAACACAAGGGGATGAATCATCATATGATTTGTGCAGACCCCTCAGTTGGGCAGGCCATCTTACCTCTCTCCAGGCCTAGCTGGCTTTGACTTGTGGGCGGCTGTGCCTTTGGGGATCTACGCGCTGCCTGTGGCGCCTCGAGCCGTAAAAACGCTCGAACCCGCGGTTTGAGCGGGGCAGGGGGTATTTTCTCACCCGGTCCGGTGGTTTGCACTTACGTGTGGGAAGACAACGCGTTTTAGCGATAAACAAGAAGTTCAGACTTGCTGTGGCAATTCTACTCCGGACGTCCCCCCCCCCAAAAAAAAAAGAGTCAAGGATTCATGGGACATCCTTTGTTAGTCAACTGGGGGGGTTATTAATCCCAAGTTCCCAATGCTGTTTGCACTTTGGAACTTTGGAAAGCAAATTCAACACCACCATGTTGAGGAGGCCCCCATATTTTGACATGTACGTATTGCAGTCGTTGGGGCGACTTGAGCATTGCCTCTACCTTTTTGAGATGAATTAGTTGGCGAGTGATGTTGAAGCAAGGCCTTTGGAGGACCAGAGGGGGAGGGGAGCTTAAGGGGGTGGATCCTACTCAGCAGGCACCTGCAAGAGTCAGGCGGAGCCATGGTGCCATGGCAGGGTGGTAAGTCTTCTTTATTTGCTGGCCGAAATGTCACCAAAGTTTGCTTCCTTTCCCGTTTCAGAGTCGCCAAAAGCGGCAGTTTCAAGGGTCACCAGCCAATTGCAACTTTGGAAGGGGAAATCCAGTCCCACCTGGCAGTTGGGCGAAATCATGCACTAGTTGGCGCTAGTTGGTGGGGGCTTCATCGTACTCTCAGTGGATCCCACAGTAGTTCCCTTGGTTTGCCTACTAGACAGGTAAATGCATCCACTGGGATTACACTGTGGATGGGCGAAATCATTCCAGGTTTTCTGAACGGTGGTGCCTAAGAGGACTTCGTCCATCCACAGGTTAAGTTAGCTAAACTGGGGGTGCATACCAGGCGTCGAACTAGTCAATTCGTTTCTGTACCATGGAGTCATATGGCGTCCATCCACAGGGCTTCATCCATCCAAATTGCAGCTTGCGATGGCTTGCTTGCCATGAGGAATTCCAGGAAAGCACCGTGCCCCGCCTTGAGCTCCATATCAAGGGAGGCAATCTGGCGAGCCACTCGGATTTTGTATTCGGCTTACGGCCGGTGCGGTTCCTGGACTTGAGTATGTTTGTGTCTTTGTTGAGGGTGCGTGGAGGGTTTTGTAGGGAAGCCAGAAGGTACACCGCAATTCTGAAACGGCGCTCGGCAAATCCCCATGGACAAAACAGACAACGAAAGCACAACTGCTTCTCGAGTACCCCCAGAAAGCTGGGGCTTTGGGCAGCGGCCATGCTGTGTTCGTAGGACAACCAAAGCACATGTCTTTGTTTGTCCGGTTGAGAGGAAACCTTTGAGTATGCTTCCGAGTATTGAAGAACAAAAGTAAGAGCGACGCAAAATCCTTCTTTGCCCGTCAACAAAGTTTGTACGATTGCCAGGGAGCTGACTTAGCATTGGGGACTTGCCCGCCGGGGGGCTGGGAACAAAAAACACACACAAACCATCTACACACAAACATGCGTTTGGACGATTACCGTGCATGCAAAGGGCACCACACCCTTAAAAGGGCTCTATGCCTTTTTTGGCTGGACACGGTTTCCGGTGCCCAAGGAAGCTTCAACAAGTCCAAAGGCCACACCTCGAAAGGAAGCTTCTCACAAGGAGTTCGCGGGATAGCTATGATTCATAATGATCCTGCTTCCAAACATAGTGCCTGTGGCTGGCTACATGGAAACAGGGTTGTTTGTTCTTTTTCGGGGGGGGTTTGCGATGTTACACGCACATATATATATATATATATATGTATCTAAGCCTGCATCCTCAAACTACAACAACGGGATTTTATCCCGTAATGTTGGGGTAGTTTGAGGCCCCAGATACACATAATATACACTTATCTCAGGGGTATACTCATTCCCCGAGTTCCTGGACGTTAAACTTCTTGGAAGGGCTATTTTAGTGGCAAGCAAACAGTTTGGACTTTTTCTGCCCACTCCACTCAGGAAGTGAGTTAGTGTAGAAGCTGCATGCCTTCAGCACAAATACCTAAGAATGCCGTGATTGGGTGGTGGCCGCGGCAATATCAGCCACAATGAAGAGGACTTGTGGGCCTCAGGGTCTTCCAGAAGCAACAAATACAAATTGCCCGCTGCAGGTTCGCAAAAGATCGAAAGCGATTCAATCCTCCTTTGGACCAGCCATGAAAAGGGACGTACCTCACTTCCTGAGTTTGGCCAAATACTTCCAAGTTGTGTCTTCGCGTCTCAGCTGATTCAGACGCAAAAGGACGTGTGTGTGTGACTTTTTGGGCACCCTTTCCATACAAATACCCCAACATGACTAGTTGTGGTTCAAAGTACCCCCACCTAATTCAATTCGAACTGCTTAGGCCCTTATTATGTGCATATGTATATATATATATATATGTGTGTGTGACCCTGGTGAGTAGCAACTAGCCTTGGCGCATAGGCTTGCACACCTTCTACATTCGGGGCACCGACTGCGCGCTTGGCAACTGGACCAAGGTGGGCAAATGTGCGGGGCTGAGATGAGAGATGAGACAAGTTCATCTGTATTCATCAAACCGCGGGGGTCGAATTTTGAGGTTTGCTGAAGATTCCCCACTCCAAACTAAATACCTGTGTTTTTTTGTTTCAAGGCCATGGCAACACTTTACGAAGGGAGGTTGTTGCTATGGACAACCCAGGTTTTCCAACTACTACCCGAAGTTAGACGGGTATTTGGAGTTGGGGGGGAGAATGAGGGCAAAACCCATTGAGGTTCGCGCGGTGGAGTTTGCACAAGCTCCCCCCCCCCCCGAAGGTTTTTGCACAGCCTTCCAGAAGGCTTTGGGCCCTTGGCTTTGGCCTTTGTGGAAGCACCGGGTCCCGAAAAATGGAATTGGAATTGGGGGGGGGTGACCCCTGGAAATCCATTGGGAAGAGTGGATAAATGGAATTGGGGGGCCCCTCCACCCTCCCCCTTACAGTAGGGGGGATCTTCAAACGCCTTTTGTACGAAGGCGCCCTGCCATTGCTTGAGGCGACTCGCTTGCAGACCTTCCACAATTAGAAGTCGGCAGAACCATTTTGGGAGGATATTGGAAGTACGTAGAAGAAGCTACTTTGAGCCTAAACCAACCAAGCCCGGCTGCAGAAGCACAGCCCTGCTGCGAAGCTTCTTTGCAAGGTTCCAAGACTTGCGGAGGAGGAAAGCAGAGGCGGGGCATCTTGTCAGCCGCACATTCTGCATATGTGGCTCCAAGGGAAACCCAGAGACCTGCTGATTGCCCTGCTAACGCGGCCTCTTTCCGGCCACTCGAGATTCAACCCAAGGCCGCAAGGTGGCAGCCCAAGGCCCTAATCTTCTAGCACCTGGGAATGAGGGATGAGGGTTCCAGGCCCATGGCCAAGGCCATCCCCCTTTCTGGAAGGAACCACCTTGGTATCACAAGGTCATGTTCGTCACATGGGCCCCTGGATTTTTCACATGTTCAAAAAACACTATGGTTGCTGATGAGGATAACAAGAACTTGAACGCGGGTTGTTTGATGTCCTTGCAGGTGGGGTTGGGGGGTGGGGTGGGGGGCTTGTGCAGTGTTTTTGGGTGTTGAAGTCTCTGAGCTTTTGGATTTCCTGTATTGGCAACAACTTTCAACAGGCCCGAGAAGGTTATATATATATATATATATCTGTATATGCCTCTGTACTCTGCAGGTTGGATGTTTCATTTGGTAGCCTCCAAAGTATAAGAAGCGATTCAGATCAAGGGCCAGCCATGCAAAGTCCGAGAAAGTGCGAAAAGCCTCGGAACGCGACCGAGTGGCCAGAACAAGTTCCGGGAACTCAGGAAGTGAGACGGGCAATTACAACTGGAACCCGCGCAATAGAACAGGGGCCTAAAAACACTTCTGCCCCATATGGGTGTGTAGTTTAAATGGTCCCGGACCCAATGGGGTGGACATCAACACTGGGTGGGTCCCGATTCATGTTCACCAATCACGTTTCAGAAACCCTGCTGAAATTCCGTAAATACCGAGAATTGTTGTGGCTTCAAGCCTGGATTCCATGACGCGAAACTGATTTCGCCATCATCCACAGTATGAGTCATACTCTGGTATTATTCTCAGTTGTTCAAAGCGAATCGACCTTTTGACATCTTTTGACCTTTTGGTTTTATCCCTTGTTGGTCTATTTTTAGCAGAGGTCCCAAAAGGTCATCCTTTGGGCCACATCTTTTTTCCTCGACCCGAAGCCGAAGTGCCCGCTGAAACCAGCGCGTGGATATCAAGTGCCTGCGGCTCAGATCCGGGCCCAAGGGCCCAACCGCGGAACCGGCGCAAAGTGAGAACACGGGCTGGCCTCAAAAATTGCGACCCCCTACTCCAAATACCAACGCCTTTTTCTAGGGTATTTTTGATGGAAAAACCGATCGGTTTTTCCATGGTAAATACCAAACCTTTTCTAGTAGAGGGTCGACATGATAGCCTGAAAAAAGAGGGTATTGGGTGTAGGGGGCACGCGGCTTACGTGATGGTTTTTGCGACAAGATGGTAGCTCAGGACCTAAGATTAATTAAATCTTTCGGTACCTATAGGCTAAGAACAAAACCTTGAATTTATGGGACTGTTTTCGGCCATGGGTCACGTCAGGTTCGAGCGCTCGGTTCTGACGCCTGCGGTGGGAGGCAGGCCTTGCCCTGCACTACGGGAGCGCCAGGAGGCTGGGCGGACCACTCTGTTTGTGGCACGGTTCGGTAAATTGTTCGGTACCCTTCCACCACGGTTCGGTCCCCCAGTAGTGCCCTTTCTTAACCCTTTTTTTGGGTTGGGAGGGTTCTCCTACTAAAGTAGACAGAAAAAATCGACTACCTTATTCTAACCTCTCAAATCTGGAGGACCTAGACCAATTCACCGCCGGAGCCGTTCGAGGTTTTTGGGTCGAGAGGTGCCTGAGAGAGGTTGCCTTTGAGTCAGAACCAAAACCCGGCAACCTCCCACCAATTAACATGGAAACTGAGAGGCAAATGAGTCACAATCAAAACCTGGGTAGATGAAGGTCAGTAAGGGACAATCCCAGCCATAAATAGCTGCGGCCGCCTTCATAATTCTTGAAGCATGGTTCTGGGTGGCCCATTTTAGTCCCTAGGCTTCCAAAGGCTATTTAAAAAACGGTCGAGGTCGCTAGACCGTTTTTTGCCGAAAGACCGTTTTTTGCACCTGGCCCTCAAACCCCCAAAAATCACGATTTGTGGTGCCCAGCCACCCTCACCTTCCCAGCTGCACATGATTGCGCCCAAGTCATTTGTTCCCCGATTCGCCATGCATATGGTCGCTTCACTGCTAGGCTAACTGCCGCTGCGCGTGCTTTTTCGCCTGCAAATTCAACCTTAGCTCATCGCACACATGTGCCGGTGGAACGTTGGACCTGGAATGCAAAATATATTGAACAAATCTAACAATTCTCATATTGAGCAGCTTCATCATGGTAGCCTTCATGGAAAGGATGCGGTACTTTGTCATTCTCATCACAAATTTTGCTCTGCAATTAGGATGCGCCCGCTTTGATACGCCTTAGCTACGCGAAGCATGGCCGAACAAGCCTTGATATCACTCACACGTGTGCGCACATACATGTGGTATATGAAGACCAGACACATTTGAGCCATTTCATCCCATCTTCATCCCCAAAACAATGGTGAAATCGGGCATTTCGTCGCCAGCGGCGTGCCGCATGCCCCATATGCAGCACCATCTTAGCTGACGCGCTACGCCATCCAAGCAGTATCATTTCACATTCATGAATTCAGCCAAGACTCATGGATTTTTGGCCTCATACGGCAAAGATCTTTGCCAATCCTGCGCTGCAGTATTCACACCCAACCCAACTCTAACAAATCAAGCAATGTCATTCACAAAGCACGCGTCACCCAACAGTCCTCAAAGCATTCAGGGCAATCGCTGTGTAGCGCTGCACAAACAGTTTGGTTGATTTAAACACTGCCTCTGCCTCTGACTGGCTGTAGAACCTTGAGCCTCGCTCTTGTAGACCATAAAGCCGCGCAAGAGATGACCTAACAGAGCTCACATACCTCCAAGAACAAACAAACCGGTGCATAATATACATACATATATATATATATATATATGTTTCTGTGTTCACTGACTGCTTTATGGAGAGCAAACCAGCTTGCCAAATATCAGGCTAAGGGGCACAAGCGAACTGACAAGGCAAAGCTCATGGTGAGGGTCAGGGTAGTGGGCCGAATGTAGAGAAGCATCGGCCAAGCACCGCTGCAAAAACTCCGTCACAACGCGGCCACAATAGGCTTTTGTTGTGAATTTGGTCGAGCCATCCTTCTTGAAAATCTTAGCCCAGATTGCATCAGAATGAATCCATGCGTACATATGAACTACAGAAACCTGCACACATACATGCAACGACACACGAGAACAGCATCACGCACGCCCCATTGCAAGCGTAGGAGCCATACCAGGCCGGAAGGGTGGCTGAGAGCAAGATACTTTCTCGCTCCTGAGGAACCCTTTGAATCGATTGTATGCTTCATCCAGCTGGTTTTGCAGGATATCCGCCTCCTTCGTCGCACCGCCGCCATCACCAAAATATCCAATACGAAGTAAGCATGCCCTAATCAGTACAGGGGGGGCCGACCTAATGTTAGAAACTTGCGTGACTCAAACTGACATTTTGCACATAGCCCAGGTGCACCCCTGCGCCATTTACATCGTAGCCCACCCCTAGATTGACGACATGCATTGAGCATATCATCACGAGGGATGGGTCAAAGCCACGAATCAATATCAATGGGCCTCAGTCAGCAGCTATGCCAAACACCCTGTCATATTGACAAGAGGGCTACTCGTAGCATCCAGGGTTTGCGACTTACATCTTCAAGCCGTTAACGCGTTTTTTTTTTGAATTGCGGCGTCTGCAGGCTTTCAGGGTCATCCACCGAACAGCTGTGTGTGTTTTAACCATTGCCGCGAACTTCAGGGTCACACTTCTGCAAGTTAGGGCTTGACCAAACCGCCTTGCTTTCCCTGTGCTGCAGCCACACCCCACTTTTTCAGCGTCACGCTTCTTAACAAGCATACATACATGCATGTATACACACAAAAATATGTGTTCAGAAAATGCAACTCATGCATGATATCACTCTTTTTTTGGTGTTGATGGTTGTTGTCCGCCTCTGGTAGGGAAGTTCCAAACCAGCTTTCCCCCTCCCCGCCTCAAATGGAAACGAGCGTAATGTGTCTGGAAGGCAGACTCAAAACCAGTTGGGGGTTATCCTCTTCCCCCCCCCAAACGTGGATTTGTTTTTTTGTTTGAAAGGGATATCCGCAAGTGGGCTGCCTTTTTGCAAGCCCTCCAGCCCGGTCTGTGTCAGATCCTACACTCCAAATAGGAAGTGGGTCAATTCAAAATAAAAACTGTCCAAACAAGTTTGAGGGTTGTGTTGTTACCATTTCCTGAAATTGAAACGGGATCGATCTATTTTTTCAATGAAGGCCCCAACAATTTTTAGGGGTGATCCTTTCGCAAACCTCTGAAAATTGATACTGGTTTGTTGCAGTCGCCAACCCTCCAAGCTGCAACTGGGTCTGTTTTAAGGAGGTCCCAAACAAAATTTTGGGGATGTCCTTTGCCCAACCATGCCAAAACTTGATACGGGTTGCCAGCCCTCCAAGATGCAAATCGGTCTGTTTTTGAGGGAGGCCCCAAACAAATTTAGGGTTAACCGGTTAACCTCCAAGAAACGGATTTGTTTAAACCAAAAGCGGAACCCGCTCCTACTATTTGAGGGTTGATTGATGTTTGGGGGCTGCAGAACCGAGGCAACAAACACGGGGGCCGTGTTCAAACGCAACTCCATTTCATTGGCAGCCCCCAGGACCCGCCAAGTCAAATAACATCATCGAAGTGTTCAATGCATCCTTGACCGTGCAACTGAACATTGCACATGGAAATATTGAAGTTGGGAAACCGACAGTGTATCATACCATGCTAGGCCGAATCAGTGAGGGGAGCCATAAAGGAACCACGGAGTACGGGCTTCCTCATTTGAGCTCCGCATTACCATTGGTTCAAAGGGCCTTGCCAATGCTGGGAACCTTATCCCACAATTGAACGGACCAACGGTAATGGGTAAGATACGTAGTATGGTTGGCAGGTTGGTACCGTGATTTGAATACACGCACACAGACACACAGCAGAGCAACCTCAAGAACACAACCACACACACAAAGCACATCTTATCAGGACCATGCGCAAAACTGTTGGGTCGAAGCCTTATCAAGTGCATCATATCTTAAACGGCATCAGCGCAAAACAAACAAGTTCAGCTTTGACACAAACTCTCAGCCGATGGCTTTGCTGCTTGTTGATGAACTCCAACAAGCTATACTCTTGCCAGTTCGGGTTGTCATCCCAGTAGTTGTAGAACAGCTTGCTTTCGTCAAACGTGTCACCGCTGGCTGTGCAAAGGTAGCACACGTTCTTGAGGGAAGTCCATGATGATGAAAAAGCGAACACTTGTTTGAAGAACTGCCAATCGCCCCGGATTTCCGTCACAGTGAAATGGCGGCCCAAACCGGCGCTATCATCAAACAAGACGTTACAACTGTATACGACCCGCTGAAGGACTCGGTCCAACGTGTCACATCCCCAGAGCTTGTGTTCTTCGATGCAGAATATGCAAAACCTTGAGCACCGGGTTGAGTAGCATCTCCACAAGGGGAAAGACAGAAATAGACCCAGCATTTTCACGTTCCCAGTTGGCCTGTTGCTGTACAGGGCTGCTCCATCCCCGTAAAGGGCAATTGGGATATGATGCTCTCCCGCAGGGCTTCGTGTCGCCCAGGTTTCGCCAGCCGCCCGCTTTCGCTGCCAAAAGCTTTTGACAATACCAGGGTCCATGTGCATCCCAGCCTTTGAAAACAGATAGTGTACCAAGCGGTGAGGGTCCAGCAAGGGCACGTCAATCCATATTTTGGTTTTCTCCTTTGATTTGACTGGGACGTTGATCATTGTCAATTCCTGGTATTGATCAACACCACGAAAGTTAGGGACTGGAAATTGCATAGCTACAACATGTTGGGTTAGGCGTAGTAAAAAAGCAGAAATGGCTAAGCCAGCTTGATCGCCAAGGCTCCAAGTCCATTTTGGCAGCCCTTTCAAAATCACGAGATTGATTTCTTGAGCCTTGAGTGCTTCCCAGGCGAGCACTCAAGGGATGGCAAAATCCTCTGGATTCCTAAGTGTTGGAACTCGCACGCAAACAAGTTGGCCTGATGTGCAGCCACAGCGCCTCCACATGGGCGCGGGCAGACTTCAACGCCATAGCCAAGCTGGAGACCTAGTCCAATTGGCCAGGGGGTTCGGGCAAGCATGGGTGAGCAAGCTTGTTCGATAAGAATTGCTTGCATGTCCAAGACGCCCCCCTCTGAACATCATCCAGTATGTTGTTGAAGAAGGCAGGCTCCCTTTCCTCTTCGTGCGCACCTGTGTGCACCAACACGAATGAAACTGAGACTTCGTGAAGGGACGCAAATATGACTTTCTCATGCAGCATGTGCAGCATGCTCGGATGCTTGCCCTTTTTGCCCCATCAAAGCTTCAAGAGCGCCCCTTTTGCTTGCTTGGTTAGCAAAGGGGCGTGACCCCGCAAAAACGCGGCTGGCAACTAGGCTACCAGTCGAACC